CTTAGACATAGAATCTAAATCCTAGTCTTTCTTCTCCATTCACTTAATCCAAATTAAGTGAATGATCATCTCTCTTTGAATATCAAATATTCAAAGAACAATCATGAAATTTTGTAAATCTCAAATTACATATCCCTCCTTCAACCCCAAAGTTGTAGGGAGTTTATCAAATTATTTATTCGTTAGAACACAAAACCAATGAATGTTCTCTTAGTCTTAGGACTCAAATCCTAATTCTCCTTCTCCTACAACTTCAAACTATAGGAGAATACTTAATCCTCTTCATGCTTTGTATCGTGGATTTCCTCAAAATTCTAAATGCATCATGTTGTAAAGCACTCAAGCTTGAGATCAAACCTTGAGCTCTTCCCTTTCATTTGCTTAGGTACATATTAGGCAAGTGAACATCTCATTTGAGCACCAAATGTTCAAAGGATTTCTATGATTGCAACCTCTAAGTTGCATTTCCCTCCCTTTTTCCTACAAGTCAAGATTGTAGGAGAGCATCCAAACCCATCTTCATGCTCTCAAACTCAAATTGGGAGGATGAATCCCCTCTTTGGACACCGAGCGTTCAAAGAAACTCCTCAAAATTGTAATATTTAAGTTGCATTTTTGACCACCTATTTTCCTACAAGCCTAAATTGTAGGAAACCTTTAAATTCCTTTCCATTCGCCTAGCTTTAATTTAGGCAAATGAATTTGTCTCTTTGAACATCAAATGTTCAAGGAACATTCATGGATTTACAACCCGTAAGTTGTATAGTCCTTCTCTCGTTTCTACAACTCAAAAGTTGTAGTAAATCCCATCATTCTCCTAAACCAAAATTAGGAGTGTCCACCCCCTCTTTGAACACCAAATGTTCAAAGAGGTTTCAGAAGCTTGTAGCCCAAAGTTGCATCTTCTTTTCTACTTTCTACAACTCAAAAGTTGTATGAAACTCTCTTTTATTTAACCTATGTTGAGTGAATCAATCATGTTCCAAATCAACCTACTTGTTGAACAAAAAACAAGTAGTTTTATCCCAAACATAGGATTCAATGGTCCTATTTCCAATCCATCCTTTCAACCCAAGTTGGAAGGGTGCAACCCTCTCTTTGACATAAAAAATGTTCAAGGACAGTTGCGAATTTGTAATTCATAAGTTGCATATTCCCCCCAACTCTCCTCTAACTTCCAAATCATAGGAGATTTTCTCTCTCTTTAGCTCTAAAAGCTAAGGAGAATTCTCCAACATTTAGCCCAAACGCTAAATGTTGGATTCTTACTTTCTCTTCTTGGCTCCAAAAGTTAAGGAGAATTCCTCAACATGTAGCCCAAAAGTTATATGTTTGGACACCTTTCTTAGACCCAAAATCTAAGCAATCATTTTCATTTCACCAAATTAAGTGATCTCTCCTATGACATTTAAAATGCTAAGTACATAGATGTCCCTTAAGCGTTATCTTTTCTGTTGAAGTTTATCATATTCTATTGGATTAATTTCACCAAGTCTTAAGTGGAACCCCCTTAGGCATATCTATCTTATCCTATTAGATAGACACTTCTCTTATTCAAACAATAAAAAAACTCCAAAATACCTAAAAATCACTTAGGTTCATTTTGATACAATGATCAATCATCTCCCCCAAAAGGTGGGATGCTTATATCATTGTACCTTAGGATTCATAAGTAATAGGTTTGCCCAAAAGCAAGCAGTGGTTACTCTATAGGTTCTTCATAACCATTCTAAATATGAAACATTTAAAAATCAAATAAAATCTTTAAGTCATAAACAATTTAAAGTTAAATCACCTTTGGATAAAAATCAAGCATCTTCATTCCAAAATAAAACCAAGTACCCTTAGTGTGATATACCACACAAGCCTCACACACTTAGGTGCACAGCCTTTTAGACATGCTAGGATTATGATTTTTCTTTGTGTGCGCATGCGATTGTTGATTTGGTATGAATACCGTTTTGGATTCCTTGCGTTGTGGGCACTTTCCCTTAAGTAGTTAGTATAGAAATATATACATACTTTTTTGTGCAGGTGGCTATGTCCAGAAGGGGGTTAAACAAGTCATGATTATTCTAATACTGTTGCTTGCAGGCGTTGCTTAAAACCCTCCAAGAGGCATGAACAATAGGATAGAAGCATATGCTTAGCACTCTAAGTGCTAGGCAAATTTTGGATGTGATGTGATTTTTATATAAATTGTTTTCTAACTCTATTTTGCAGACTTGAGTATTTTCTATCATGTATTTGATTAGATCTATGATGTAAAGTTTGTGGGTTTTGGACTAGAAGGAAAGGTGAATTGAGGAGGGATGTACTCTTTTAGAGGTGAAGCCTAAATATCCACTTGAGAGTTAAAGTTTGAAGACCCCCACAAGTAGAATTTATAATTTATTAACTGAGTTGTATAATAACAGACAACCCAGCTGCCAAACATATTTGTAATAATTGGGACATTACTTGCACTTCTATTTTAATTGGTTTACAAGCATGTGTTGATTGTTTACTGGGTGTGTAATAGAAAAGCATGCCTTTTTCTTAGGTTTCTTCTCTTGTTTGTTTGGGTTTGTCCTGGACTTTGGTACGATAGACTCTTATGATAAAATAAATTTTCTACCCCTACCCTTTAAATTTTAAACAACTTAAAAAATTAATCTATGCTCCATGATTTCCTAATAAAAGAAAATTGCATGGCTTTTTTTCAAGGAGCCAAGTTTTTCAAAATTGAAAACAATCATGCATAGCCAAGAATGTGTCTAATGTAGAAATGCCCTCACTTAAGGATTAGATAACAAAAAGTCTGCATTTGTGAGTCTGCATTATGCATGCTCTACATACATAGGCATCTTGACCTCAAAGCCGAGTTGTAAGCCCTACTTCCTGAATAAAAAAAATAACCCTCCACTTTATATTTGCATTAAGACCGGACAACATGGTTTTAAAATCGATTAGGTGAGTTTAGCTGGTAGTCCTCTCCAAGCAAGATAATAAATCCAGAGGTCGGGCGGATTATGCCTCATGTGAGTTGTAATTTGTAAGTTCATTTGTATTTTGTTAGACTTAGGTTCGAGCCACTACCTCTCGATAGTCTTCGCCTTAGTTTTAGGATCCGAGTCAACTGGTTGATCCCAATCATCATATAAGTACTCACCTTTTGGGCAGTTCCTCCAACATATATTGTTAGAATGTAAGCCCCAAATTTCTAATACAAATATCAAGTTAAATAAAGATTTAACTTCTAAAATGTAAAGCCCGACATATGATAGTTTGAGTACCTTTGAGTTTCCCTCAGAATCAAGTACTCATTGGTCCTCATTCCAAGAAGTCTAATCTCAAATTGATTTTCCCCCCCTTGAAATTCCTAAAGGTCAAAACCTTTAAGCAAGACTTTCATGAATTTCTAAATCAAAATTTTGTCAACATTTAAATAACTTTAAAAAAAGAAGAAGAAAACCACTAGTTTAATCAAAAGTCTTCTCAAGCCAAAGCTTGGGATGTAATTAACCATAAGGGTTTGCCCCTATGGGACGTCTGTACCCCATAAATAAATAAATCCCATTCAGCCAAACATTGAATGGGGGAATCTCTGTTAAAATTGTAAATTTTATCATTGAGTCCATAAGGAAATGATATTTTTTACCCTTCGGGTAATATATCATCATTCTTATAACGTTCTCGATCATAAAATATGCAATCCATTTGAGGGCTACAAAAATTCTCCAACATTGTTGTTCGAATAAAGTTAAAAAAAAAAAAGAGAAGGGCCGAACCATGTGGCCCACATTCCCACGTCATGTCCACAATCGCTAGAAAAAATTGCTTGCTTGATTAATATAAAAGAAACATAAAGGGTTATGCTCGCTTACGTTAGTTTTGCGATTCAAGTGTTGATTCTCTCTTTAACGATTTTGTTCAAATCCTGTGAAGAAAATCCCGCTCCGGCTCTTGCGATCTGGTTTGAATTCCGCTTTGGCGTCCTTATCTCCCGTACGTTTCAAATCCCAATACCTGCACCCGGCCTCCCTACGAGCCCGCTTCCAGAGCCAACTGCCCGATTGAGGCAACTCCTGTCCCAAACTTCTGTCATCCATCCGCCTCCTTGCATGGATACCATCTCGTCCGACCGGAGCCTCCCATCTGATTCCTCTTCAGAAAATGGATAAGGAAAAATAGAGAAAATAAAAAAGAAGAAAATATGGGAAAATAAAAGAGAAATATATACATTGTGTGTTTTCGCCTAACCAATTTTGTTGCCTCTTTGTTGATACCATGCTATTTGCTTAGGTAATATGCAAAAGCTACTTCAGCAAATCGCCAAATATAAGTATCCATATGCTCCTTTGTTGGTGAGAGGGGAAGAAAACTACTAGTCGCCAAAAATAAGTACATGCATGTATTTCTCTTGTCATGGTGGGGAACTTCTTATATGATTTTCATGTAGATATGGAAACTCATCCGCACCTTTCTTGGCACGATGGGAGTAGTAATCACCACGATAAGTGTGCAACAATCTTGAGAACAGTGCAATCATCTTGAGAAGTTCGCAAATATGTTGAGATGCATGTAACCTTTTTGAGAAGGTCATTGCGCAGGAAGCATGCCACTTTTTTGAAAAACATCTAATTATACCATACAAATTTATCGAAAAGCTATCAATTATATTATATAATATACTAAAAAGCATGTAAATGCACCATGTTGGTAGATCGAAAAGAATGAGAGTACAGCGTGCAAAAGCACAGAAATGTATACAATGGGGCTGTGCTTTCCCCTTACAATATAAGGGATAATTCTTTCCGTGAGAGTATTTTGTTTGTCACATTTGTCTGCTTGTTGAATGATTTATATAGAAGTTGCATGATTCTACTTGACTTCATTAAGGTGTATTCTATTTGTGTCTTGATCTTTGAAGTAAGAAGCTCGGTTTATACTTTGATAACTTTGATAATTTTTTTTTGGCCTCTCGCAGCTTCTTCCAATTTGTTGATTTATTTTGTCAGGTACCTTCAAAAAAGTGCGCCCACCACATGTAGGCCACAGAGTGATTATCATATTTTCAATACATTCTTTTTTGGAAAGCTTGAAAAAGCTTTATCTCAAAAGGTATACTAGTCAACATCAAAAGTAATCCTCTATTTCTTATGTATGCAAGAAATTGCTGATAAAATGCTTCATGACACTATGCTTTTAATGAGATTCTGTGTGAAAAATTAAGTTAACCTGTTCATCAGCACAAAGTGCTGGCATTTACTGAGCGAGGTCTTCAAAACAGAACATTTCATGATTTCCCCATAATTTTTTTTCTTCTAAAATGGAACAAAAAATGCTGCCAGCCCTCTTTGTTACGAGTCATAGATGCATTAATCAGAGATTTCTCCCGGGATGTTCAAATTTATCATGCATTAGTTGCCTCTCTCTCTCAGGTTTCCACTTTCATTTGGTACTATTCTCCTAAATATTAAGGATCATGATATTTTAAATTATCTTTTGAAGTTCCTATACCACCATTGTGTTGCTTCATCTCGATCAAATTAATTAGACAACCTTCGAAGATTGCAGCTTCACTAATATGAATGCTAGTTTTTATCTGGACATGCACTCCTGTTTGTGTTCTTTACTTAAGGGACTTGGAAGGTCCTTTTCCCTAGGGATATCACTTAATAAAGTGCAAAACAACTCGAGCCATTTGTCACACAGTAACACTAGGACCAACTATTAGCTTCTCCATTTTTTTCTACAATCCAATCTGAAACGAGGTTGGTTTGTGCCAAAGTGGGCTGTGTGCCATCATTTTAAGTTGGTTGGTGCTCTGGGCTGGGTTATTCTTTAGAGAATACTTCAGAGCAAGGTTTAAAATTGTGCAATTAGGTGTGAGACATTTTTTTTGTTCGTGAGGTGAGGCATAAGCCTCAAGGCGTTTTGAGGCGTAAGCCTTAAAATTAAAAAGTTATTTAAAGTGAAAGTAAAGGTCAAAAGTGATTTTTTGTATAATACCTAAATAATTTGTTAAATGATGATATATTAACTTCCTATTGAGTTATGAATTAATAAATTGACATACATATGAAATAAAAATTGTACAAGATATAAAAAAAAGTGATAAATTATGTGAAATAGAATTGCAATTCGAATATTATAAGAGTGAAATAATATTAAATATATAAATTGCATAAAATGATAAAAGTATCATATAACATCATGTTAAACTCCAATTTTTTTCTTTCTCAATTCTCTACTCATTTACATTTAATTCCTAATGAAAGCTGAAATAATTGGCAACTCAAAAATCATTTGCACTGTCATTACTGATGTGATCTTTATTTGAGTTGCCATAACAGATTGGTCTATCCCCTGCCTCATCTGGGGGAGTCGAATGCCTCCCAATCTGCTTCTTAATTTATTTCAATCATGTTTATCTTTTATAAATATTTTTCATCAACATAAAGATGAGATTTATACTGTAAAATTTTTAGGTTGGTGGTGTGTGGCTTTCAAGTGATCCTCGGTGATAACTATGACGATGTTGGTTGTGGCAAAGGCCACAGACCGTAGAGGAAGTTAAGAGAAAGTTGTTGTAGCTCGAATGTGCACAAATGCGTGATTTATGTTAGTTTTAATAAAAAAATATACAAATGGTGAGGCGTAAGCCTCATGCTAACGAGGTGAGGTGTGCCTCAAGGCAGGCCTCAGCCAAGCTGAGGCGCAAGCCTCATAAAAAAAGCTAGAGGCATTTTTCACTGGAATTGCGATGAGGCGAGCCTCATATTTCGCAATTTTAAACAATGCTTCTGAGTGAATGGCTACATTGATGCAGTTCATTACCATATAAATGCTAGTGCAAGTCATGGCATTGTGTTAACAAAATAATCTTCTTCCATCATGATTTTTGTATTTGTTTGTTTTGGTTTACTTGCTGGTGTATGGTTGGTGACTAATCACTGTTTGAGATCTTGAAATGCTAGAGGCAATAAGTACAATGGAGGCCCGCTCTAGAGATTTGGAGAGGACCGCTGTCGCATGTGGGTGAGTGTGTGTCTTGCGTGCACGCATGAGCATGGGGTTGGGTGCAGGAAAGTGGGGAGTGGACTTCTGTTTAAGAATTATGCATATTCACTCCGTTCTTTTTAAGTTTAATCGGGTTTGACATAGAGTCTAGAATCTATCTTCTTTCGGCTGCTCTGTTGTACAGAACTAAACACTCCCTATCCTTGTGTTATTGCATTGCTTCTATACATGTCGTTATTGTTTCCATTTACCTAATTGCACTTAGGACCATATTAAAAAAGTTACCTAATTGAAAGTAGTTTGCTGCCTTCAATCTGGTCCTTCAACCCAGCAATTTGATTGCTTGCAAAACTAGTGGCCATAAACTTTGTGCTGCTTCATTTTCTATTGAACTGATGCAATTTAGGGTTTAGGGTTCTGCCGCCAACAATGCTAATGATCCTTACATGCCAATATTGTGGTTTCAGTTAACTGCCAATGCGGATACTTATTTCATTTGGAACTAACCCACTCTAGGCTGGTTGCTGTACTACTGCAGTGGGAAATTTCTGTAGATGTTTCATGTGTGTGTCACAATAATGAGAAGCTAGCTGCAAGTTGCTATTTAGGGATTTAAGTTTCCTAATAAAATTTTTAATTGAAAGAGTAGAAGAAACACAAGAATATGTAGTTTTTTTTTTTTTTGTGGGCTTAAACGGTATAAATATTGAATTTCAGGATTCCTTTTAAATAGTGAAATGCATATATGATAAAGAAAAAATTATATCACATGCATGCAATGAAGCAAACGATGAGAAGGTTTTTTTGCCAATTCTTTCAGCTTCTATGAAAATATTAAATTTAGTATATGTAGTTATTTTAGGTTTTTTTTTTCTTTTTTTGGGTTTAAACGGTATATGTAGGGGGAGGTGGTGTTTAAACGGTATAAAATTTAAATTTCATGATTTAATTTATGTTTTATTCTTTTTTGGGTTTAGATGGTATAAAATTTGATTTTTAGGGATTCATATTAAACAATGAAATTTAGATATTATAAAGAAAAAATTCATATTGCATGCATGAAATGAAGCAACTGATGAGATGGGTTTTTGCCAATTTTTCATTTCTGTGAGAATATTAAATTTAGCCAAAGGCGTTGATCTAAGCTTTGTGAATGGAAGTAAGATATAGCAATTTATTCCTGATAAATTCTTTGCATCATAATTTAGGCGCATCTATCTTTATTTAGTTTCTTTTATTGAAAATTACTTCCTTTGTTTAAATTAGATAGTTTGGCAATGAAATTTTAGTTAGGTACAGTACATACCTAGTCTTGTTGTTGCGGTTCGCTTCTTTTGCTAACAAGATTTAATTATGATAATGGTTTTCAGGGTGATAGATCTCAATGTTTCTTGAAGTTGAGGCGGTGGTGGAAAGGAGTAAATATATTTTCTAAGGCATACATCCTTTTGCCAATTCATGGAAGGTGTGTACTGTGTTGTCATTTTGGCGGGATTTGCTGCCAAATCATTCTATTTGCAATCACTCGTTGGTATTAATATGCTAAGTTTTTTTTATTAACCCATATTTAATATGAAAAGAGTTGGTCATGTTATACGAAGGCATTAAAAAATGCACTATTTAGTGTAGGTGCATTATGCAATGTGGGCTCTGAAAAATTTCATTTTTAGATTGTGTGATCCCGGCCTCTCTGTGCCATTCGTCTATTTTTCTTTTAAGTGTTTGTGAGACGATGACGGCAGAGAGTTTTAACGAGATTAGGTTCCGGGGGAATTTTCAGAAGGCAGATTGGGTTTTAGATAAGACACTACCCAGAGATTTCGCCCTCATTTGGTGAGGACTTTTTGATTTGAGTTCTGGTTTCCTATAGGCGCAAGCCCCTATATTTAATTACCCCTCCCAATAACAGGAGAGAACTTTAGATTAAGGCTAGTCATTAAGGAGGTCACATAGGTTATGAATCTATCGTATAATAACAATAATTTAGGGTTTGAGTTTTGGATTTAAATTTTTGAAGTTTGGATTTTGGAGTTTAGAATTTAGAGTTTATCATCATAAACTTAAAACTGGTGGTGGGGGGAGTGAAGACGAGCCCGATCAAGATCCCATGGTTCCGTCCTTGGTCGGCGAAGGGTCGGTCGGAGTTGGTGGGGCTTAGCCGAAGTAAACGAGTAGATCAAATGGACTTTAGGGCACAGCGGCTTTGGCGTTGATGAAGCCGAAGGGTTCAACGGAGAGCCGGTGTTTGGCGGTCGGAGATGGAGGTTGACAGCTTGCTAGAGTTTGAATGGGGGAAGACAGGCGTCGGAGGGAGGGTTGGCAAGTCCGGCGAAGTCGACGGGCTTAGTGATTCGTCCAAGGTGAGTCTTCCGAAACTCCTTGCTTGCGATTTCTTTCGGTTCTCAGAGTTTCTATGTGTGTGTACTGGAACCGAATGAGAGGGTCTATTTTTACGTCGTGAATGAGGCAGTGAAGGAGCGGATGTGTCATTTGGGTATGTCGGTGGGTTTTGGTCGGGAGTCATTTCGTCTGATTTAGAGTCGGCAGTTAGAGGTCAACATGCAAATGTACCATAAAAATGATTATGCATTTCCTACAAATACATTCGTCATCATGTAAATGTATTATGCTTGTCACACAAATGCACTATGTGCCATTTATACAGATGTGTCATGCCAATACTCAAGGTGCATTTCTGTTAATCATGCAAATACATTATGCTAATCATACAATAATTATATAACTTCATAATACATCATGCAATTCATATAAGTGCATTATGCAAAATATACTCAAAAGCGTGTTACCGCATGGACCCCGACGAGTGTGACATATCCACGTGACGTCTGAGGATGCTGTGCGGACCAAAAAATGACAATATACTACTAAAAACATAAAAAAGTACGTGCTTATCATTTAGATACAAAAATACAACATGGGCCCTAATGAGAGTGACATATACATGACATATGAGGATATTGTGGACTAAAGAAATAATGAATGAAATTTCAAACATATAGAATACATTGTACAAGTATGCTGACATACACACTCATATCATTTAAATTAAAAATTTAAACCAACCACATGGGCACCGACAAGCGTGATATATGTACTCATGTGACATCTAAGGATGCTATGCAGGTCAAAAGTAAATTTAAGTTCAAGTCAAATTTTCCTTTTTGAATGAGCCGGAGTTGACACGACTTGAACCATCGAATAAATACATGGTTGTAGCACCGACCGAAGTATTTAATTTTATACATTTATATTAAGCCTTTAAGGTTTATTACAAAATAGGTTCACCGCTAAAAGCATAAACTCTCAGAACTGACACTCGTTGAAGTTAATCGAAATATTTAATTTTATACGTTCATACTAAGTATTCAAGGTCTCTTATAAAGAAAATTCACTTATTAAAATGAATACTCCTAGTTCTTATATCTATACGATAACTTCAAAAATTAGGAGCTGAACCCAATCCTCTGTTTGCAAGCAAATAGAGTTGACAAGCTTTGATTAATGAAATGACAATACCCATAAATCATCCCCGATAATGGCTTTGTTGAAAGCTAATCTCAACCGGAGGGGATTATGCTTCTTAAATATATCATAAAATTGATCCTAAAATTAATAAGCATAACGACTCTTTCTTTATGATATATATTTTCTAAAATAATTATTTTGTGATATCTCTTTTGTTACGACCCGAACCGAGTGTTTAGAATATCAAGTTGAGAATAAATAGTTAGACAACTGTTAAATTTCTTTGAACAATAGTTAAAAAGGTCGAATAAACTATCATCCAAAATTTTATAAAAAGTTACTAATTATCCATCTCAATTTAAGACATATATAATTCAATTGTAATCCATTTTATAAAAATCAATGAACTAGAGTCAAGTACATAGGGTCTTTACATACCTATTCCAGGCGCTCCTATTCTTATGCATACAAAATCTTTCCTGTCAGCTGTCAAATCTATAGGAGTTTTATCTAAAATATTTTGTTTGATAGGTTGTGTTTTTATCTTGAAAGTCAATGTTTAATTATAATTTTATAATATAGTGATAAATAAATAAAATGCAATGCATATAAGTTATCAGAAGTAATCATTAATCCTTTCATTTAAGAGAATTTAAACATTAACACTGATAGGATAAATATCATTTTATAGAATTTTTTTTAAATGTATATCTTTTAATATGTCATTCATTTTAGCAGCGCAGTCTAATATTTGCATGAATTTATAAACAATCATTTTCATTTTCTTTTCTAACCTTTCTTTTTTCGTGCATTGGTGCATTGCTTGCTCAAAAGTATCATGAGAAGGTGAGCTTGCAATTACTCGCTCAGAGGTAGAACTGCATTGGTTATGGATAGGATATCAACCACCTGAGAAAGCCGGCAATGAAGGCCGATGATGGAAAACAATCCTCAAAATTCCGACAATTAAGGCCGGTTGTGGGAACTTGTATTCGTCAGGTTTCCAGCAATGAAGGATGTATTTATAGTAGCAATAAAAGTTGATTTGATTAACCATCAAGGCTGATTTGCGTGTATCAGCAATAAAGGCTGATTTGATTTGATTATATCAGCAATAAAGGCTGATATCATGTCTTAATCATGTCTCAAATCTAATTCAAGACTTCTTGCTGTTGTCGGCCCATCTAAGATAATCGAGAGGGCGTCTCTGTGGATCTGAGCGGAACAGGATAATCGGAAGGAGCTTCCGATCAAATTGAGCGTCTGCGAACAGCTTCTTCTTCCGAGCGTCGGTGCGGCTTCGTCGGTGCGGTTTTGCTTCAACCACTTCTTCTGCAAGCTCCGAGTCCATCTTGGGCTTCATTCGCAAGCTTCGTCCGCAAGGGCTTCGTCTTGGTCGCCCGCAGAGCTCGGCTCTTGCGGTCGATTCTTCCAGACGAGATCAATTCAGCTTGTGATTCTCTTGGGCGACTTCGTCTCCTGGCTTCTTCCTGCCTTCCGACATCAAAGCTAGTGTCTTCCTCCGAGCGGCTTCTTCCTGCGTCTAGAGGCTTTGATGTTTCCATCCTTTGGCTTCGTCTCGCAGGAGGTTTGCTCGGCCCGTCCGTCCCACAAGGCCCCGCCGCTTTCTTCCTTCCTTCGACTTCGTCACAGTTTGCTCGGCTCGTCCTGTTTCATTCGGCTTCAGGCTTCGGGCTTCTGGGTCCAGCGTCGTTTCTTCGGCTCCTTCATGGCTACGCTCCTTTGACGACTTGTCCTTCCTGTCTGATCGGAAGTTTGGATCGGAGCTTCGACTCTGTCTCAGCTTCCGTCTTCAGCGTACACGGAGTTGGCAGCGATCAAGCCTCGGATGCTTCGGGCTTTTTTTCCTCTTCCTCTTCCGATGATCTAAGATCATTCTTCGACAGCAATTAAGGCCGTTGGCTCTGATACCATGTTAGAATTCATAGAATTTGAGAAGGGTAAAAATACCTTCTAATTATTATGCCAAATTAACCCTATTTATAGATCTATACATGATGTCTTAATAAAGAAATAAATAACTTTTAATTGTTACATAATTGACTCAATATAATCCTTCCTAATTCAGCTACCCAAATATAGAAGGATATTGTCGTGATCCAGGTGAGCTTCCCATGGATTTTCATCTTGATCGTGAGATCAAATGCCAAGGGATGACTGATATTTTGACAAAAGTCATTTAATTCTTTCTTTTAATGAAGATTTGTGTTGCAATATTTGCAAGAATGCATATAATAGATCATGCCAATTTAGTTTTGAAGATCAATTCTTTCACTTCGATACTTCAATTCTTAATCAATTCTTGCTCAATTCACAACCTAGATATCATGTTCATGTTTATATCAATTTACTTATTTAATTCGAAACTATCTTTATATTTAAAATTTTCCAATTAAATTAATAATAATCAAATTGATTAAATTTTGCTTTAATTCTGGCCTTAATTGTATTCTCATCTCTTGCTTTTTTTACCTCAGAATTCTGACGCACTTGCTTACTCTATTCGATTCCACATAAGAGTACTCTTGATTGCTTTTATTGTGTTTGTCTTTACTAAACTTCTTAGTTCTCTCACTGTCCAAAGTAATGTTAAAGGAGCCAAACAACATCAAAGGCAATGTCGGATCAAGCGTTGTCAATAGTATCGAACATCATCAAAGACAATATCGATGATGAATGAATTAATCTATTCCATCTTAAAAGAATAAAATTTAAAATAAATTTGCTTTATTACCTCCAGTTATTCCTTCTCTTCATCGAACGAGATTGCATAGTCCGACCCTCTTCTTTTTTCTTCCCTTTCATTTCTACGTTGAACGGGAAACTCATGAAACCTCTTTTTATTTTTTTCTTTGTTGAACCAGGTCACACGAACTCTCCCTCTTCCTCTCTGTCTCTGACCTCATAGAGCCAGATTCGAAGTCTTCTTCTTCCCTTTCTCTAACTCCACTGAGCAGA